ATATTTGTATATGTATACATATATATATATATATATATATACATATAATGTATATATTTATATATATATATGTATATGTATGTATATATTTATACATATATATGTATATATATGCACACACATTTATGTATATATACACATATACACGCACACATTCAAGAGAACGAGAGGGTCAAGTGAGGGAGGTGTTGTGGGGGGGGGCGTACTGGTGAGGTGGTCCAGGTTCTACCAGTTACTTTCATATTCTCGGGCTATTGCGGAGTTCTATCCCCCCCCCCTCCATTTCGTCGCTCTCCCTCCCTCACCCCCTCTCTCTCCTTGCTCCTCTCATCACCCACTCTCTCTCTTCTCTCCTCTCCTCTCCTCACCCTCTCTATCTTAACTCCTCTCTCTCTTCTCGCCTCTCCTCACCACCTCTCCTCACCCACCTCTCTCTTCTCTCCTTCCATCACTCCCTCTCTCTCTCCTCTCCTCTCCTCTCCTCTCCTCTCCTCTCTCTCCTCACCCTCTCTCTATTCTCTCCTTCCCTAACAACTCTCTGTTCTCTCCTCTCCTTACTCTACTGTATGTTTACTTTTCCTTCTCTTCTGTTCTTTCGCCTCCCGCCTCCCACTCCTCTTTCTGCATCGCTTTTTGCCTTCTCCCCCTTCAACCCCTTTTCCCGCCATGTTTCTTCCTCTCATTCCTCCGTCCCTCCCCTCTTCCCTCCTTGCCTCCCTTATCCTGCCTCCGTTTCCCTCTTTCCCTCCCACGTCAGCCCTGAAGCCCCTCTCCCCATCGCCTCTCCACCTGCCTCTGTTTACCTTGCGACTTTCACCCTTTCACGCGTCTACCTTTCTACCCTTCTGCCCTTGTGCCTCGCCCTCGGCGCTCACGTGGTATTCGCATGCTCATTCACGCCCCCCCCCCAGCCCTGCCCCACATCACCTCCCCCCGCCTCTGCGACTACGCCCTGGGAGGGCAGGCCCGAGAGGGGAAAAGGGGTGTCGAGAAGTGTGAGGAACAGAGAGCAACCCGCACGCGAGAAAAACCGAGATGGCCAGAAACATGTTATGGATCTTTTCGGTTTTCTTGTGAGCCTTTGTGTGCCTCCCCCCCTCTCGCTCCTCCTGGGCTTCCGGTTGCGCGCGACCTGCCCTGGCGGCCGTCTGGGTGGGGGTGGGGTCACTGGGGACGCCCGAGGGAGGAGGAGGAGGAGGAGGAGGAGCAAGAAGAGGAAGAGGCTGAGAAAGGAAGGCGGAGAAAGGGAGAGCTCGCGACTGACTACCGTGACGAGGTTCTTGACAGTTTACCTGCTGGCCGATTCTCCTTGCTGCTTGCCTGCTTGCTGACGCCCTTCCATGCTGCCTGCTTGCTGACGCCCTTCCATGCTGCCTGCTTGCTGACATGCTGCCCTGCTTGCTGACGCCCTTCCATGCTGCCTGCTGCTGACGCCCTTCCATGCTGCCTGCTTGCTGACGCCCTTCCATGCTGCCTTCTTGCTGACGCCCTTCCATGCTGCCTTCTTGCTGACGCCTTCCATGCTGCCCTTGCTTGCTGACGCCCTTCCATGCTGCCTGCTGACGCTGCCTGCTTGCTGACGCCCTTCCATGCTGCCTGCTTGCTGACGCCTTCCATGCTGCCTGCTTGCTGACCCCTTCCATGCTGCCTGCTTGCTGACGCCCTTCCATGCTGCTGCTTGCTGACGCCCTTCCATGCTGCCTGCTTGCTGACGCCCTTCCATGCTGCCTGCTTGCTGATTCCATGCTGCTGCTTGCTGACGCCCTTCATGCTGCCTGCTTGCTGACGCCTTCCATGCTGCCTGCTTGCTGACGCCCTTCCATGCTGCCTGCTTGCTGACGCCCTTCCATGCTGCCTGCTTGCTGACGCGCTGCCTGCTTGCTGACGCCCTTCCATGCTGCCTGCTTGCTGACGCCCTTCCATGCTGCCTGCTTGCTGCGCCCCATGCTGCCTGCTTGCTGACGCCCTTCCATGCTGCCTTGCTTGCTGCCTGCTTGCTGACGCCTGCTTGCTGACGCCCTTCCATGCTGCTTGCTGCTGCTGCTTGCTGACGCTGCCTGCTTGCTGACGCCCTTCCTGCCTGCTTGCTGACGCCCTTCATGCTGCCTGCTTGCTGACGCCCTTCCATGCTGCTGCTTGCTGACGCCCTTCCATGCTGCCTGACGCCCTTCCATGCTGCCTGCTTGCTTTCCATGCTGCCTGCTTGCTGACGCCGACGCCCTGCTGCCTGCTTGCTGACGCCCTTCCATGCTGACGCCCTTCCATGCTGCCTGCTTGCTGACGCAATGCTGCCTGCTTGCTGACGCCCTTCCATGCTGCCTGCTTGCTGACGCCCTTCCATGCTGCCTGCTTGCTGACGCCCTTCCATGCTGCCTGCTTGCTGACGCCCTTCCATGCTGCCTGCTTGCTGAACATGCTGCCTGCTTGCTGACTTCCATGCTGCCTGCTTGCTGACACTGCCCTTGCTGAATGATTCCATTGCTTGCTGACGCCCTTCCAT